TCTCTTCCATTCGGATCAACAGAAAGAGGTGTCAGATACGATCAAGGGAATGCAAAGATTCGCATCATGGACAGCCCAACCAGAAAGCCATGGAGGAGTGGGAGGGGCCGTGGCTGGGAGGGGCCGTGGCTCCGTGGCAGAGCCTCTGCTTGGCATGCAGAAGGTCTCGGGTCCAATCCCTGGCGGCGGCCGCATCTCCAGTTGAGAGAACTGAGTAGCAGGGGACGTGAAAGACCTCCCTCCTCCCAAGACCCTGGAGGAGAGCGGCTTCCGTCTGAGTAGACAAGAGGGACCTGGGTGGACCACGGGTGTGTGTGTGTGTGTCTGATTCAGGAGGAGGCCGCTCCACCTGTGTGTTCGTGTGAGTGTCCTGGCAGTGGAAGGGTTAAGGAGCCGCTGGGTCCTCTCCCAGCCTCCTGGGGCCACCCTGGAGATGCTGCTGCTGCTGCTGCTTATAAACCCTGCGGTGTTTTGGCTGCCAGGAGCTCACTTCACCTGCTGCAAGTGGCAACTCAAGTGCAGAATTCCCAGCTTTGGGGATGGGGTGAAGCAGGATAGGGTGGTGTGTGTGTGTGTGCGCGCATCTTGCCGCTGGAGGACTGTTGGAGGCTCATCCTCGGGAGCTGCCCGGGAGAGGGGGCTTCGGAGTCAAGCTGAGTGGGAGTTTTGCCGGCTTGGGACCCTCCCAGCTGCCTGGTCTCTGTCCCTGGGAGCCGAGGAGCAGGGGCCCCCTCCCCTCAGGACAGAGTCGTCCAAGGGCCTTGCAAACTCACATCTTTGTTGGCTGTTCAGTGAACAGACCCAGGCGGTGGGGTGTGTGTGTGTCTTAGGATACTTTGCTTAACCCCCCACCCCCACCCACTATTTGTAGGCTAAATGTTGGAGGAGACGGTGGGCTGTGTCGCTGTGGTTGTGTCATGAAAACCCTGAGAGCAATGCTCCCGCTAAGCCGTGGAGTCCTGTGAGCAAAAATTCTACTTTGTGAGCTCCTGGCATGAAAGTTGTGAGTGATTTGGCTGCTGCATCAATTCGTTTGCTCTGGAGCCACATCCTTCCGGGGCCCAGACAACAGTGTGTGAGCCGGAGGCTAAAGAACTGTGAGCTAGCTCACACTAACTCAGCTTCGAGGGAACACTGCCTGAGAGACCCTTCCGCAACAGTTCTTGCCTGAGGAAAAACTCCTTTTTTGTCACTGAGGTGCAGCTGGCTTGTGGCTGAACGTGAGGAGAGAGAGAGTTCCCCTGGAAAAGCTGGTCTTGGAGCCGCTTTGGAGGGCTCTGGAGCTGAGCGTCGACTGGCTGCACTGTGGGCAGGTGGCCGACTGGGGAGTCCAACGGTGGCACCTGAGAGACCTGCCCGATTTGCAGCCTGGAAGCTGGCGAGAACCAAAGCTCCCTTCGTCAGATAGGAAGAGCCTTTGAGTCTCGAAAACTGACGCCCCAGGAATCTGGCGGGTCTCTAACGCTCTGAAACAACCTGTGAGGTAGGTTAGGCTGAGATAGTATTGTGACGGCGGCCCCGAGGTCACCCAGGGAGCTCCCCTGGCGGAACGAGCACCCGAAGGTGGCTGTCCCCGGTCCCAGCAAACCCTCACTCTCACCCCCCCCCCCCCGTGCCGAGCTGGTTCTCCTTGGGTGTGGCAGAGCCTCTGCTTGGCATGCAGGAGAGCTCAGGTTCAATCTCTGGCGTCTCCAGCTGAAAGGACCAGGCAGCAGGAGATGCGGAAATCCTCTGCCTGAGATTTGGGAGAGTCACCGCCCGTCTGAGCAGACCGTGCGAAGTTTGATGCACCAGGGCCCAGTTAAAGCACAAGGCAGCTTCGCTTGTGCTCAGGTGTGTGGCTGGCATTGTTTTCCAGTTCTGTAATCCTTGCTCTATTATGTCACACATTGGTTGTCCTGTGCCGTTTGATCACACTGTTTCTTATCCGGTTATCTGCCTTGAGTCTTGGTGCAAACTGGCCGCATACCACTCAGATGCGCTGTTTTGGGTTCCTGGGTATCATAGGTGGCGGAATCTGCATTTGTCTTTCCCACCGGTGTCCCAGCCTTTTGACTCCGTCTTCAAAAAAGCTGTCTACATTTGGTGTCGTTTTCACACCTCAAGAGTGCTAGCATACTTTTGCACGTCCACATATGTTTATCGTTCTTTGGGGCGGCTCCACTGCCATTGCACCTCCGCACTGCTTTAAAAGAATCTTCTCCAAACAACATTCAAACAAGCATAGAGAAAGACGGCGTCACAGCAGCAGGAAAATGATTTCAAAATGCAAATGCAGATTCACCCGATGTGTCTGAACCTGTGACTTAGGTCGAATCTGCATTTGCATTTTTAAATCATTTTCGTGCTGCTGTGATGCCGTCTTTCTGCTGGTTTGAATGTTGTTTGGAGAAGATTCTTTTAAAGCAGTGCGGAGGTGCAGTGGCAGTGGAGCTGCCCCGAAAGGACGGTAAACATATGTGGATGCGCAAACGTATGCTAGCACTCTTGAGGTGTGAAAACGACACCAAATGTAGGCAGCTTTTTTGAAGACGGAGTCAAAAGGCTGGGACACCGGTGGGAAAGACAAATGCAGATTCCGCCTCAGTATTCCTAATGTGCGGGGCCTTTTCTCCTGGAGAACACGTCAGAATGGGGTTCCGGAACCTCTTCAACAAAATTCTTTTAGAAATGTTTAAAAGGTCATGAGCTTTCAGGACACAGCTTGAAAACTTCATGTCCCTCTCGAGAGGTCCGGAACCTCTTTTTCCAGCGGGAAAAAAGGCCCTGCAGATGTGCATTGGGTTTAATTTGTGTTGGCGGACGTGGTGATGACGACTCTCCCTCTCTGCAGACGCACAACGCCCAGCTTGGTGTAATCTCTGCATCAACGGAACCCGGATTTGGGAGATCGTTTCCCTAGGGCAGCCATGTTGGTTGGCGGTCGAACAGTTAGGTCTGAAGCAAGGGCCCCCCTAAGCTGTGGGAGTCTTGTGAGCAGAAATTCTACCTTGTGAGCTCCTGGCATTAAAGTCGTGAGCCAGCCATTTGGCTACTGCATAACTTCTTTTGCTCTGGAGCCATCCTTCCTGAGCGGAGACAAAACTGTGTGAGCCGGAGGCTAAAGAACAGTGAGCTAGCTCACACTGTGACTCAGCTTACAGGGAACACTGGTCCGAAGCCCAGCAGGACCTAGAGAATAAGATTGGGGAGGGGTGGGGTATGAGCTTCCGAGTGCCAGGGCTCCCTTCATCCGGCACAAGGGGGAGTGCAGATCTGAGCCTCCCCAGCCTTTCCCCTCTCAAATCCAGTGGATGGCCACGTGCCTTCGACCTCGGCATCCTTTACAAGCATCCTTTGCCACACCCCTTCCACCTTCTGACGGGGATAAAGAGACTCAGATCTCCATTTCCACTCCGCTCGTGTCCGATGAAGAAGGGAGCTCGGAGCTTGTAGGGCTCTCTTTCGGCTCTGCTCCTGCAGAGTGCGGGGGGGGGAGGGGTTGGACTAGATGACCTGCAAGGTCCCTTCCCACTCTGACACTCTGTGATTCTATGATTCTGTGACTCTGGAAGGCTAACGTGCTGAACCTCTTGCTGACCTTTAAGGTGCCCTGGGACTCAAATCTAACTGGACGTGGGGAGGAAAGGACTCAGGAGCCTGGGTGGCCTTTCCTGGTACCATCTACAAATGGAGGCCAGAACCGCACATGTATCATCCCCAAACCATGGGGCACTGTGGGTGTGGGTGTGTGTCCATGGGCACTAAAGACCAGCTCTTGCAAATGGGGGGAAACGGTTGGTCTAAATAGTGGAACTCCTTCGGACTCGGGGAGGGCCAATGATGCAGAACTAGGTAAGACCAGGTGGGGTTTCAGCTTGGATCCGTGGCTCAGATCATAAGAACACAAGAGAGTGTGCAGTTCTGGTCACCACACCTCAAAAAGGATATTAGAGCGCTGGAAAAAGTGCAGAAAAGGGCAACAGGAATGAGAAAAGGGTTGGAACACTTCCCCTATGAAGAAAGGTTAGAGCACTTGGGGCTCTTTAGCTCGGAGAAACGACGACTGAGGGGTGACGTGATCGAGGTTTATAAGATTATGCATGGGATAGAGCAGGTGGAGCAAGAAGTACTTTCCTCCCTTTCTCACAATACAAGAACTCCTTGTGGGCACTCCATGAAATTGCAGAGCGGTCGGGTTAGAACGGAGAAAAGGAAGTACTTCTTCACCCAAAGAGTGATTAACACATGGAATTCACTGCCACAGGAGGTGGTGGCGGCTACAAGCATGGACGGCTTCAAAAGGGAATTAGATAGGCATATGGAGCAGAGGTCCGTCCTGGCCCCACTGCTGGACCTCCTGAGGGCACCTGGTATTTCTGGCCACTGTGTGACCCAGAGTGTTGGACTGGAGGGGCCATTGGCCTGATCCAACATTGGCTTCTCTTTGGTTTTTATGAGAAGCCCAATGTTGAATCAGGCCAATGGCCCATCCAGTCCAACACTCTGGGTCACACAGTGGCCAAAAACACCAGGTGCCCTCAGGAGGTCTAGCAGTGGGGCCAGGACACTAGGAGCCCTCCCACTGTTGCCCCCCCCCAGGCACCAAGAATGCAGAGCATCCCTTGCCCCAGACATAAGAGAACATAAGAGAAGCCCCTGTTGGATCTGCCCAATGACCCACCCAGTCCAACGCTCTGTGTCAGGCAGTGGCCAAAAATACCAGGTGCCCTCAGGAGGTCCAGCAGTGGGGCCAGGACAACAGAAGCCCCCTCTCACTGTTGCCCCAGCACCAAGAATGCAGAGCATCCCTCGACCCAGACCGAGAATCCTCTCTATACCTTGTGGCTAATCATCCGGAGCTCTTTCCTCTGCCGGGCATTTATTCTTTGTTCAAACAGCTGGGCATGGGTGGGAAGGAAAGGCCCGCTCTAGAGACAGGGGAAGAGACTTTTCTCTTGCCATTTGCATGGTTTTTTAAATCAGGCATTTCCATACTTCCAGGTACCACAGTGGCGGCCATGGCGATCCCCAACCGGACCGAGGACTGGCCGCGGCTCTTTGTGTTGATGGACATCCCAGGACTCGGCTCCGCACATCGCTGGCTGGTGATCCCGCTGGGCGCCATGTACCTCGTCTCCTTTTTCGGGAACGGCACCATCCTGGCCGTGGTCCGGGCCGAGCGGGGCCTCCGCGCACCCATGTACCTGCTCTTGTGCATGCTGGCCCTGGCCGACCTGGGTCTCTCGGCTTCCACTCTGCCATCCATGCTGAGCGTCTTCCTGCTCCGCTCCAGAGCGGTGCTGGCCGGGGCCTGCTTCGCCCAACTCTTCTCCATCCACACTTTCTCCGTCATCGAATCGGCTGTCCTCCTGGCCATGGCCTTTGACCGCTTCGTGGCCATCTGGAACCCTCTGAGGTACGCCTCTGTCCTGACCGGCGCTACGGTGGCCAAGATGGGGGCGGCCATTGTTTTCCGAAGCGTCGGCCTCCACCTCCCCCTGCCTTTCATGCTGAGGGAGCTCAGATACGGCAAGGCCAGGGCCCTTTCTCATTCCTACTGCGTCCATCCAGACGTCCTCAGGCTGGCCTGCGTGGACACGCGTGTTAACAGTGCTTACGGCCTTTTCGTGCTGCTTTCCACGCTCGGGCTGGACTCCGTCCTCATCCTCCTTTCGTACGCCATGATCCTAAAGACCGTGCTGCGCATCGCCACCTGGAAGGCGCGCCTGAAGGCCCTCAACACCTGCGTCTCCCACATCTGCGCCGTCCTCCTCTTCTATAGCCCCCTGCTGAGCCTCTCTATGATCCACCGGTTTGGGAAGGAAATGCCCCCCCAGGTCTACCTGCTTCTGTCCTACCTCCACTTCCTCCTGCCCCCGGTGCTCAACCCGGTGATATACAGCGTGAAGACCAAGGAGATCCGGCGACGGGTCTTTGGGATGTTCCAGCGCAAAGGTCTGGGGTTCAGGCTCTGATTCTGAAAGTGGACTTGAAGGGGAGGGGTCTTTGCTTCTGTCTCCATTTGCTCTCCGGCTGTTGTACAGCCTTTGGAGAAATGCCTTCTGCCCTAGAAATCCCATCAGTACTCCAATAATTGAGACTGCACTTTGTCTACGTACTGGAGCTTGATTGCACTTTCATAGCTGGCAAGGAGGGAAAGCACAGGGTTTGGAGTCACTCTTCCCCAAGCATCAAGCACTTTAGCACTGAGAGATGCAAATGGCTCTGGCTATAGAGAGACAAAGGGTTTACCACCTAACACCTCTGCTAAATTGTAACGCCTAACAGAAATCCTAAAGGCTAGATTTTGTTCTCTTCCTCTTGGTCAGGAAGACTGGGAATGATCCCACAGATGGGGATGGACTCTCAAGGGGAGATTATCAAGCTTCAGGACATGACAAAGAAGCTCTTCTCTTTGTTCATCTTCTTCAGGATAAGATGGAGGCGAGGAAAACTACGTAAGCCACTTTGGGGAGAAAGGTGGGATATCGAACAAACAAACAAGATGGCACAAGCCATGAGGCAGTAAGTCTGCAGTGGGATCCTGTTGATCAAATGTTGAGGAACAATGGGAAATTTCCCAACCTCTGAGAAGTAAGATAATGGAGGAATTTTAAATACTGAAACTACAAGTGATAACTAGGCTATAGTAATGTGACATGGTTAGGATAAGTATAGAGTTTAGGATTTAGAGGACTGTGTTCCCACCATTTCTTTTTATCCTTGCTCAGCTTGAAATGACCATGTGTACTCTTTTTGTTTATTAAACTTTCTTATATTTTGAATGCTCAAAACCTGATCTCTGTATACACACCACAATGCATTCTGTCCTGTTTTCCAAAAAGTGGTAAAGGAGATGGGCAGAGGTTGAGCTTGCCATCTTTTGAGCACTGTGAAGAAATATGTTTTTTCCTTGGAGGTTTGACACTAGTAAAGCTTCCACTGTGCATTCCCCCCCCCCCCCCCGGCGGGGGGGGAAAGAACAAGCAAGAAGGGGGAAGTCTGTGCAACTGCTTCCCAGACCTACCATAGCTTACCTTCACTCACATGCTAATGGATCTAGTAGGAGGGATCATGGGTGGGTCAAGATCTCCCCCTTCCTCCTAGCAGGGAACAGAGATTTTTGGAGGAATGAACTGCTAGAGAGACTCCAGGAATAAGTTTCCTTGAGATCTCCAGGAAACACCTCTTTGACCTGGCCTGGTCAGCGGGAGGGGAAATCGATACGATAAAAACTCCTTGCAGCAAGAAGGTGGTCTCTTTTCCTTGGGTGCTGGGTCCAGAGACCTCTTCACTGGGAAGGCGGCAATTTTGACCATGTGCTCGCCTCAAGAGCTGGAGCAAGCTTTAAGGCAACAGAAACTGTAGAGATCTAGAACACCTAAGATTAAGAGCCTGCCCTATATTTTAAGATCACATAGGGCACGTATAGAGAGAAAGACAGAGCATTTGCGTTCTACCTATTTCTTTTGTATTCCTTGCTCAGTCTGGTGCTGTGCTAAAAGTATGCTTGTGAATATTTTCTTTTAAATAAATACTTTGTAACTTTTGATGCTGGACATGGTTCTCTGTATTCACACAGACCTCCACCATCTCGGTCACATTTTTGTAAAAGGATTGCCAGGAGGGGGAAGGCAGGCAGTTGGCAAGTGGCTCTTCCTCCAGGGGCCCACGAGGCAGTAAACTGTCCCGATAGTGTCCAGGCGCTGGGCAGCAGGAGACACAGAGGCAAGGCCTCAGAACTTGGAAGGGAAGCCGGGAACCCTGACTCTCCCAGCAGGCCATTCTTTACAAAGGTCAAGTGGTGGTGGCAGGTTACCGGAGGGGGGGGGAAGAAGCCTCTCCAGGTGTTGGGAAGACCTTGGAAGGCAGGGTGGAATAGGTCCTGCGGGCCAGAGCAGGCGCATTCCGCCACAAGCACAAAAGTGAGGAAGCGTAATGGATCATCCTTCAGTAACTACTGCAATGAAAGTGAGAGGTGGTGTCAGTTAGGCAGAGCATTTGAACAGCAATGCACATATGGAGTGCTGGGAGTACAAATCCATTGAGCAGGTGATGCTGTTTCAGATTCATTTGTGGTGGTGGTTACCCCAAGGAGGAGATTGTGCCCCTCGAGTTAGAGAAAGGGCTGCCTTGCTGGGTGAAGAAGAGATTGGATTTATACCCCATGGCCCTTCACTACCCAAGGGAGTCGCAGAGCAGCTTGCAAACTCCCTTCCCTTCCCCTCCCCACAAAAGACACCCTGTGAGGTAGGTGGGGCTGAGAGACCTCTTGACAGAAACGGCTTTTTCAAGGACAGCTCTGACAGAACTACGGCTTGCCCAAGGTCATCCAGCAGCTGCAAGTGGAGGAGTGGGGAACCAAACCCCGTTCTCCCAGATTAAAGTCCGCGCACTTAACCACGACATCAAGAGACTGGGGTCTCAGAGCGGCTTACAAACTCCTTTCCCTTCCCCTCCCCACGACAGACAGACACCCTGTGAGGTAGGTGGGGCTGAGAGAGCTCTGACAGAAACGGTTCTTTTTCAAGGACAGCTCTTATCAGAACTTGTGACTTTCTTTCTTTCACATTTATGAATCACCTAATCCCCACATACAGATGTTAAACATCAGGGAAAGAAGTGCCCCGTGAGGGACCCCCCCCAGGGGTCTCTGGAGGACATAAGAACATAAGAGACGCCAATGTTGGATCAGGCCAAAGGCCCATCCAGTCCAACACTCTGTATCACACAGTGGCCAAAAAATTCTTTAATGGTGGGCTGGGCCTGGCTGGGGTGATGGCACGCGTGCCCAGAGAGGGCTCTGAGTGCCACCTCTGGCACCCGTGCCGTAGGTTCGCCACCACTGCCGTAGAGCCTTCACATTAGCCCGTCTACATGCTTTGTCCCCAAAAGTGCTCTGAGGTCGGTTTAATAAAATTCCCCTACGTGAAAGGTTATGTTCACGCCCTTTAAAATCTGTGGATTCAATATACTATATTTCCAACTGTCAGTTTCACTCAGCCTTACGCAAAGAATTGTTGCCATCTTTTATTTCCTCTGAATTATAGTTCTAATAAGGAAAAGGCTATTCAGTATCTTCTAAAGGATGTTAATCCTGATATCACAGCTATAGCGGCCAAAGTTAGATCTGTGCTCCTAAAGGATTTATTTTGTTATCCTTTTAAATTTTCATGCTGTTATTGTATATCTATGTATTTTACTGTTATTATGCCATTAAAGGTATTTGACTTTGATGAAGGGTTTTCACAGGCCCATCGCTATCTTCGGGCTTGACCTGAGAGACTGGCAACGTTCCCAGCTTACCTATAGCTACACCATCATCATCATGTTTCAGCTGATTTTGATCTAAAGCTGTATAAGGGTGCCCAGATTTTGAAGTAACATAAGCCAAATGATGAGGCACTTGTGGTTAATTGCCACTTCCTATTATGGTCTAGTAACAAATATACACTGCAAAAGCCTTTTAGCAAACTAATGTGTTCTATTTATGGTCATCATTTAGTAAAGTGCAATTTTGCATCAGTGTTTTAAAAGCCAAGCTCCAACGGGAGTTTCTAGAATTATAAGCCCGCTTCAACTTGCATAAAGTCTTCCACAAAGGGGGACAGCCTTCTTGTATGGATGCTTTTTGCCGGTCCTACAAAAGCTAGCATTCATGGACGAGTACATGTGGATGCAGCTTTGAGAACCACAGGATTACTCCGTCCATAAATGTTAGCTGCATAATGTGTCTTTTGTAGGACCGGCAAAAAGCATCCAAAATTGTCTGGTAGTTAGCAATCTGTATGTATTGAATGTTATTGCTTATTGAATGTAATGAATATTTATTCCTGACTAGGATGAAATGATGACACACTCTGCACTTTACTAAATGATGACCATAAACAGAAGACATTAGTTTGCTAAAAAAAATTTTGCAGTGTATATTTGTTACTAGACTCTCCTCTAACACTGCAGCTCGGGTTGCTTCAACTTCCTATTATGGAACTGAACGGAGGTGCAGAAATCACTATTTGGGAATTGTAACTTATTGCTGTTAGCATCACCGAAGAAGACGTTCAAAACGAGAGAACAAAATACCCCGGATCCTCGTGTGAATCCTTCTGGAAGCCTTTTGCTTGAACTCTTCTGCGATACTCAGGTTTTCATTTTTGCATGCAGAATATCACACTTTGATATTGTTACAAGGTCCAGGTGGTCATCTGTGTTGGTCTGAAGCAGTAAAACAAATTTAAGAGTCTAGTGGGGGCACCTTTGAGACCAACAAGGTATGAGCTTTTGTGTGTAAGGCACAGTTTTTCAAATACATTGGAATGGCAGACGAGGATCTAAACTTATAGACAGGGACTTAACAGGAAATGAACATGTAACATCCCCCCGTTTTTCTTCCTGTTCAGCTCCCTGCGACAGGATCAGAGGAGCAGCTGGGTTGGAAATAGGTGTGTTGCGAGGTCTAAATTCAGTCGTTACAGGGTTCACGTGCTTACCTTGTGTGCAGTTGTTTAGATTGACCTGGAAGGGAACCTGGCAGAGAGCCAATGGGAAGAAAGCCCGGGAAAACTGAAGCCTATTTACTAATAATCATGGGTGAGTGCATTCAGGTGATTTCCTTCTAGGGGCCAAGGAGAAAGGAAGATTCTCCATTACCAACTGGTCTGTCTGTTGTTGCAAGCATGTCGTCTTAGGTGTTTGTCGTTTTGTAGATTTTCTGTGTGCCCTTCCCTCTTTAGAATTAAAGATTTTTACATAGAAAGAAAATGCCTCCTCTCCAGTGGACAAAGAGCCATTGCAAACTCTGAATACAAAACTATTTTCACCAACTTTTCCAACAATTAACACGTAGCATGTCACCGCCACCCCACCCCCTTTCTTCTTTATCAGCTCCCTGCGACAGAATCAGAGGAGCAGCTGGCTCAGGAACGAGCAAGAGAAGGAAGTGCTGAGAAAAACACCAACTTTAATGCAGGAGTTGAAAAACGTATTCCGGCGAAAAACCGTCAGGTACAACATTTTAACTAAAAAACCACAAAAAGAGCCACTGCTAATTAAAAGACTCCCCCCTCCCTCCCTCCCTCCCCCAGGTCAAATATAGATACGCCTTTCAGTTAAAAACGGGGGGGGGGGAGAGAGAGAAAAGGAGCCCCCCCTTCTTTTGGCAGAGGCTGCCCCACAAAGACGCTGGCCCTGCCCGGGAGAGGGAGGAGCAACTGGGGGGGGGGCTGGACGTGGCCTGGGGAAGGCAAAACTAGAGGAGACTGGCCAGGAAGCTCCCTCTTCCTCCCTCATGGAACACAAGGTGCCCCAGAGGGCCCCCCCCCCCAACACACACACACACACGCCAGTAAGAGAACAAAAGGCAGGGGGTGTGTGTGTGTGCTTGAAAAGCAGACCCCCTCAGGGGAGGCCCAGGACAGAAGAGCCGCGACCCAGGTCCTCTGGAGGCTGCGCAGTCCTGGAGGAAGCAGCACCCCCCCCCCGTGAGGTCTCACTTGGTGCTCCTGATGGTGCTGCAGAGACTGGCCAGCTGTGCCTAGAAGGAGGAGGAGAAGATGAGGCCTCGGTCAGCAGAGAGGGGAGGTGGGGGGGGGGCCTCACGGTACGGGACAGCACGCCTCTGCGATGGGGTGGGGGGGCACAGTCCGCCTCTCCACAGGAGGCAGGGGCCAAAAGGGCTGAGATGGGGGGGGGGGAGAGCAAGGGCGTGCCCTCCCTTCCCTTCTCCAGGGATTG